GGGGAGGTTAGGGTATGAAACAAACAGCCATCACCAGCAAAGTACCAGCAACAAAAAGATCGTTAGAGCGTTTCCTGTTTCACGTTAAGGCTCTTCTCCATACAACATCACGCGGTTCCAACTTCTGGATGGGTACGACTACACAACAAAAGATTTGCTATATTTTTCTCTCTCGAAACTTCGAAATCTTGATAGCTTCAGTCATATGGTAACTGAGTTTTGAGATGCTTATTGAATTGCAGGTAGCTTGAAACATAAGGACTTGAGTGGGCAAATAGTGAGTTCTCAGGCTTATGTAGACAACGAAACTGATGAGGTAGAAGAAGAAAACATGACCGGAGAAGAAGATCCCATGGAAGAGGAAGAGATTCCCTTGAGACCTTAGATTTTCTAAAACCTTTCTACATTATTCAAATTCTTTAGTATCTTACATTTATCCTTTTTTATAATCCGGTGAGGTTGAATCTACAGTAACAAAGCTTCTTTTCATTTCTTATTCCATAATTATTATCGTATATAATGGATGTAATCAGTGAACATTGTACTTATATTGTTTAACATGTTCCATTTCTAATGTAAACATTCGGTACTAGTATTTTTTTATCGTCAAAAAGCTTTCACTGCTTTGTGTGTATTTTTTAGTTAGATTGATAAATAGATTTACTTTTCATACCCAAAAAAAAAAAAAATTTACTTTTTAAGTCCTATCAGTTGAAAGTTAAAAACCATGGGTTTATTTATGAATCACACTACAAATTTAGATTCCGAGATCAAAATTGTACAGCGATTTACTATTTGCTAAATAAGATTATCAACGACGACAAAAGTAATTTGAAACCTTGTGATTGAAAATATGAAAAAGACTACACTGGTAATGATTGATGTATATACAAAAAGTAAAAGGGAAGGCGAGAAAATATGAGGGTCGTGAATCTCGTGATAAGTGGAACGTAAAAGTTTGAGTAAAGATCAAGTCAAAAAAAAATTCAGACAAACATCAATACTTGTGCTTGGTTCATGTCTTTTTCATTGGTATTAATTATTAAACCTCTAAAAGAAAAAGGAGGCAGCTAAAGCGCACGTGGCATGTGAGCAGTCGCAAACGTGAAAAAGACATGTTTCATTTCACGTGTGTATATTTCCCTCATTTCTTCGTTGGGTTTAAAAGCTGTGTCTAAAGAAAATCAAAGAAATCGAGATTTACATGGAAGAGAAAAAAGAAAGATCAAAAAGACATGATCCAAATAGAAACAACATTTTAAAAAAAGATTATGCGTTCCTTATTATTACAATGCCCATATTTCAATTCAAGCATACCTACAAGAAGCTAAGACAACAAATACCTCTTAG